ATTTTGGGCTTTTCCGCTGATATTTCAAGTAATAATCATTACATTTCAATGAAACTTGGTACATACACGTTTAGATGATCTACAACTATGCACAGAACTATGTAGTTTGGATTAAAAGTTTGTGCATATTAATCACCTAATTTACATAAAGATTAGTCAATTTTTGTTTTTTCACTGATATCTCAAGTACTAATCATCACCTTAGGGACGACGTCAAAAGATTGATGTCGGATAAAAAACTTAATTCCTTTAGTTTTTTTCCAAACCCCCCTACCACCCACTAAAACTTAATTGATAAATATTGGTCATGGCGTCAGACTACATTCACCATTAAATACAAATTGATAATCGGACAGTAGTATTGCATAGCAGTTGGTTGTCGGGTGGGTGTAAAAAGATTTTACAAATGCACCTCATTTGACGCATCGATTTACACTCGAACCAAACCATTTTCTCGTCTTGGATGGGTTTTTTTCCTTTTCGGTTATTTCTTCCATGATTGGATAGAAAAAAAAGAACTACAAATACTCCAAGATTTTTTTGACTTCATTAAAAAATAAAATCGTTTTTGTAGGATGAAAACTTTTTGAGGTCAAAACCCCCCACCCCCAAACTAAAGGAAATAAGTTTTTTATCCGACATCGATCTTTTGACGTCGTCCCTTACAATGAAACGTTGCGTATAGATGAGACTATATACACCCCTGATAAGTTTTGGGTTAATATCCATGCATACTAATTACCTATTTTGCTTAATTAGTAATGTTCTGGCTTTTCTGCTGATATTTCAAGTTCTACTCATTATATTCCAATAAAACTTGGTACACAGATGCTCTAGATGCTATACTCAAACCTAATTAGTTTTAACTAAAATTTGTGCATATTAATTACCTAATTTGCATAATAGTTCATAATTTTTCGGCCTTTCCATGGATATCCCCAGTTCTAATTACAATTCAACGAAACCTGGTACCCCTGGTAACATTGTTTGAAAGACTAATGAATTATTAATATGTCTCCAATACTCTAAGCCCACGGAAGCTCTTTCTAAGCTTTCTTTGATTTTCATACTACTTCTGATTATTATATGTAATATGCATTCATATTATACTAATCTATTATTTGTAAATTTCAAACTAACTACTGTAAAATGACTAATTTTCACTGGGTTTAAATTTCACTGATTTACCATTTCAGGCATATTCAGTGGGTTTTAAATTCACGGTTTTATCATTTAGATAATGTGTTCTATGCTAAATTTTACATATTCACTGTGTTTTAATTTAGCGCATTTTTCCAGTCAGCGAAATAAGCTAAATTAAAACCCAGTGAATAATTACCCCCTTTACAGTAACTAGTCTTGGCAAGACTTATTTGTTTTCATATAAAAGCTTTACTGTGACAAGAGGCAAACCCAGATGTTGTAGTTTGTATTTTTTTCTATATTTTTAAATCAATTTGGACCAAATGGAGATAATTTCCTACAAGCCTTGATGAAAATGTTGGAAAAATTATGTGGGTTTAAAATTTATGAATGATGACAACAGTTTTCTTTGACACTCAAAAGGTTAATGATATGCAAATTATCTAATTATTATGCACATAAGGTATATAGAACTATTTTGTGAATGATGATAACAGTTTTTTTTGGCATTCAAATGGTTAATGATATGCAAATTATCTAATTATTATGCACATTCAGGATATAAAACTATTTTGTGAATTGTGCCTGAAGTTGACTTTGGTACTCAAATGGTTAATGATATGCAAATTACCTAATTAATATGCACAGATGGTATATAGAACTTTTTTGTGAATGGTGACAAAAGTTGACTTTGGTGCTCAAATGATTAATGATATGCAAATTACCTAATTAATATGCACATACGGTATATAGAACTATTTTGTGAGTGGTGACAAAAGTTGACTTTGGTGCTGAAATGGTTAATGATATGCAAATTACCTAATTAATATGCACATACGATGTATAGAACTATTTTATGAATGGTGACGAAAGTTTTCTTTGGCACTCAAAGGGTTAAAAAGTGATGATAATCATGGTGTATATTTACATAGAAAAACAATAGTTGCTGCTAGCTGATAACTCTTTTCTTGTTGCTTTACAGGTGTGCATTTAAAGGACTTGATCACACTACACACAGCATTTCCAGACAGACTTGAAAATGACCTCATCAACTTCAGAAAGATGGCCCAGTTATCTATGACGATAGAAGAACTTACCCAGTTGCAGAATGCAACACCGCCTATCGAAGCTAACATGGACTTAGTCAATATGTTAAAG